ATACATAATGAAATTTATTAATCAAAAAAAATATAAATTAGTAAGAAATATGTAACATGCAAGGCATGTAAATTGCAAAATGTTATAAGTGAGCAACATGCACTATTTATGCTTTTCTCTTTTTTTATTTCTATTTATTATGTAATAAAAATTACTTACCGATTCTGACGATATTTTTTGCATAAATTCGTCTCGTGGAGTACCCAATATCTCCATTATTAAGTTCAATTGATGAATATCTGCTCTTGCTAAGGTTCCACCACACCTTTTTCTATTTTCACTAAATATTTTGATTATTAAATAAGTATAATAAATAATATAATTTCATGCATTATTGTCTGTGAATATGAAATATGAACATAATAACATGTATGGCTTTTTGTATTTATATAAAAAGTAATTTCTTTCACTTTTAAACAAAAGCTAAATTAAAGCATTTTCTGCCAGCTGACAAATAAAATATGATATAATTAATATATTAGTAAAATAAATGAAAATATTAAAGCAAGAAAGAAGCTATGTAGACCCTTAGCAAAAAGCATATTTTTTAATTCTGATAATTAAAAATAGTTAAAGATTTGTAATATTTATTAAATAATTATGAAAAAAGATTTGTGTATATTTAATTAGTATAATTAATTAAATAAAAACATTGATTTTGATTATTAAATATTAATATTCAAAGAGATTAAAAAGCATAGTTATAAAAAGGATACGATCTGTTCCCGGAAATAATGTTCGCCCTGTTAATAATTCAGCCATTATACATCCAACAGACCAAATATCAACTAAAAAAGTATAAATATTGTATTATTATATATTAAAAACAAATTACAAAATAAAAAAAAATATACCTGTTTGATTGTAATGCATCCAATTGAGCATAATTTCTGGAGCTCTATACCATCTTGTAGCAACATAACCGGTCATTTCATTTTCTGTAGGCCTAGCCAATCCAAAATCTAAAATTTTCAGCTCACAATCCTCATTTACAGCTATGTTAGAAGGCTTCAAATCCTATATTTATAAATAATATATATTTAAAAGTATTCTTTATCACATTTAAATTGTTAGTATCATTTGATATTGTAAAGTAAGATATTACTTTACCCTATGTATTATACCCGCGGAATGAATATATTTGAGACCACGAAAAATTTGATAAACAAGAAACTGTACATGATCATCAGAAAGCTTTTGAGTTCTTACAATATTATTGAGATCTGCACCCATCAGATGCGTCACTAAATATCTATTAAAAGTATATGTCATTACTAAAACATGATAAGGAATCATAATCAAGGGATTGAAGAAATATAAATAAAATATAAATAGCAAAATATAAAATGATATACTTACACTTGTTGAAAATCTTCTAAAGAAGAAGATGGATGAAAAACATCTAATAAACCAATTATCTGAAATTAATTATATGATTATTTATCATAAAACTTATAAATTTTTATCTTTATAATAATCTGATAATAATCTAATAAAATTTATTATAAAATATAATTATTTTTAAATCTAATTTCAAGACAAAGTCTATTATTCTACTGTGCCAATTTCAAAAATACATTATATATATATATATATGTACATATTATTTCTATACTCACATTTTCATGATTCATGTGTTTCAACATACGAAGTTCTCTATAAGTGCGTTTTGCATGTACAGCTGATTGGAATGGCCTGGCTAATTTTTTTATTGCTACTTTCTGACCAGTTTTTGTATCAAGTGCTGAACTGAAAAAAATATACATATATTATAGATATTGTAAATATGTTATATTTAATCATTTATTTATAAATTAAGATATTTAAATTTAATAAAAAAATAAATATTCTAATTTTTTTTTATTATTTATTTTTCTCTTCGTAATTAAAAAATTAAATAATTATTATTGAGTATTAATATAAATTTTAATATAAATATTTATTCAACAATTTATATCATAAAATATTTTTATAAATAAATAAAAATACAAAATATTTTGCAAAAGAAATTCGAATAATGCATCTCTCATCTAATTTATTTTCGTGGAGAAGCATTGACAAATATTTCTAATTTTAGTTTTATTATAATATAGAATACAATGATACATGAAATACTTGCTCCAATAATAATTTTTATTTTAATTACAAAAAAAAATTAATTGTAATTTCAAGCGATATAATGAATAATAGAAATGTCAAGGTTATGATTAATTCTTAACTAAATTTTGAATTATTAATAAGACACAAAATCAGATCATTTAAAATTATAAATATTTGTTCAAATGGAAAATAATCGAAAAAAACATTTGAAATTAGATTATTGCTTAGATTTTATATTATTAGAATTATTTTCTTCCTTTACCACACTTGTCCGTAAGCTCCCGATCCTACTGGTGTTAACATTTGATATCGTTCCGGAACCTCCCATTCGGTCCTATTTATTTCGACTTTATGAAATTGCGGCATACTACATACAATTGTTCACTCAAATCGCTTAACGAAATACTATACAAATACAAGAAAAATCACAAACACTCTGTATTAATGTTTAGAATTGTATTTTACAAACAATTTGTACATTTCTAAATTAGCTCACTATTAAAAACTACTACATCCATCGTATATCGTATATAAGACTATTATCCCTCGATATTCAGTCGATTAGTTGATCGATATTATATTGAAATTTTTAACGAGTAATCGATTCACTTTTCTCGATATTTTTCCATCGATTATATAAAAGATAATAAAATAAGATATATTATCATATTTTTTTGAATTGTTAGAATTCATGAGATATTTAATCGTTTATTTTCAAATTAAGTACTTTAAAAATCATGAAAACGATATTATAAATTCATAATACAAGATTCCATTAAGATTATAATTTATAAATATTACTTATATTTATAATAAAAGATTTTTTACTTATATAATAATAAAATTATTTTCATTATATTGTTCGTTAAAATAATAAAATTAATACTCCATAAATATTTAATAAAAGATTATAAAAATATATTATAATATATTATATTATAATAATATATTATAATAAAAATTTAATTTATATAGATAAAATATAGATACCTTATCTATATAATAATATTCATAAATTAAATAAAAATAAATATTTTTCAGTGTATATATGATATATTAATATCATGTTTATCAAATAATATCTATAATACAATTTTATTTTTCGTCAATATTATATATAATATTATTTTTATTTTTATATATTCAATAGAACATAGTAGTTCGTGACTCATGACATAATTTCAGTGTGTCAATCTCTTCCTTGTCCAATTTGCGATATTAGTATATGACGTGTTAAAATTTGGAATCGCTATTTTTTGTAACTCGATGAATATGAGTATAAATGACGGAGAAATAATTGAATACGAACCTTCGGTTAAAAATGTAATCGAACAACAATCTTTGCGATGGATATTTGTCGGAGGTAAAGGTGGAGTTGGCAAAACGACATGCAGGTATTATTATAACCTTTAAAACTCGTTTGTTTATTGTATATCGATCACTACTTTTCTTGTATTAATTTTTAGTTGTTCTTTGGCTGTACAATTGTCAAAAGTTAGAGAAAATGTCCTTATTATATCTACTGATCCTGCACATAATATCTCCGATGCATTTGACCAAAAATTTAGTAAAGTTCCGACAAAAGTAAAAGGTTTTGATAATCTTTTTGCTATGGAAATAGATCCAAATGTAGGTATTACCGAATTGCCGGAGGAATATTTTGAAAGCGAAGCAGGTATTTTGTAAATGTTGAATTTTTAAATCATATTTTTAATTTATATAATGACGTTTTTAGTTTAATAAATGAATTTAAATTTATATTGCACAAAATAGTTTCAGGAGGAGAAGCAATGAGATTAAGTAGAAGTGTAATGCAAGAAATTGTAGGAGCATTTCCAGGTATAGATGAAGCAATGAGTTATGCAGAAGTAATGAAGTTAGTAATGAATTATTTGATTATTTAATATATATATGTGATATTTGTTTGATAGGCATTTAAATTTTCAGATTGGTTAAGGGAATGAACTTTTCTGTTGTTGTTTTTGATACTGCACCTACTGGTCATACTTTAAGATTATTATCATTTCCACAAGTAGTAGAAAAAGGTTTGGGCAAATTAATGCGTTTAAAAATGAAGATTAGTCCTTTCATTACACAGGTTAGAAAAATTTAAGACAATATATATAATTTAAATTAGTAATTCTAATTGTAATTGCAAATATATCTAATTACAGATTAGTTCATTATTGGGCATGACAGATTTCAATGTAGATACATTTTGTAATAAAATAGAAGAAATGCTCATTGTCATTCGACAAGTTAATGAACAATTTAAAAATCCTGATCAAACAACATTTGTTTGTGTATGTATAGCAGAATTTTTGTCATTATATGAAACAGAAAGACTTGTACAGGAATTAACAAAATGTGGTATAGATACTCATAACATTATAGTAAATCAATTATTGTTCTTGAAAGAAGGAGATGTACCATGTAGACTTTGTCTTGCTAGGCATAAAATACAAGATAAATATTTAGAACAGGTAATTGAAAATATTGTAATTAATATAATTTGAAACTCTAGAAATTAATAAGCTTTTTTTCTTAGATAATGGATCTTTATGAGGATTTCCATATTACTCGACTTCCTTTATTAGAAAGAGAAGTTCGAGGAGTTCAACAGGTTAAAGAATTTTCGGAAAATCTTATTAAACCTTATAAGCCTTAACGCTTATATGATTAATCTTTCATAACTTTAATATATAATCAAAAGTTCTTTAAATTAAACAAATTTTATACATATGATAAAATTCATATAAAAAAGATAATGTTTTTATTTATAATATTTAATAAGGATATTTTACCTTTGCATTATTAAAAGTTTCAGTTGATGTATTATTTGATTAACATTATAAACATTATAAACATTATTTGATTAATTATATTATTGTATTTTTACTTTTTTTTTTTTTTATTACCATCAATTCAAATTTCTTATAAGAATATATATAAATTTTCTTATAAGAATGATAAAGATATTATTTAATAATTTTAAGTTTTTTTCCAACATGTATAAATGCATTTACAGCTTGTTTTATATCATCTTGTGAATGTGCGGCACTAATCTGAACGCGTATTCGTGCTTTATTTTTTGGTACAACGGGATAATTAAAACCAATAACATAAATTCCTTGTTCTGTAAAAAATAAATTATTATATAATTATTATATAATACATATTAAGAAAAATTTATATATTACAAAATATATCATAAATATTTACCAATCATCTCATCAGCAAATTCACTGGTTAACTTTTCATCACCTATCATAATAGGACAGATAGGATGATTATCACCACTAATTGTAAATCCTGCTGTTTTCATATTATTTCTAAATAGATTAGTATTATTTTTTAAACGATTTAGGAGTTCTGTAGAATTTGTTATTAGATCCATGACCTATATAATATTTAAAAAACAATAATTTGAAATTAAATTTTTATTATTTTTTTTAATACCTTTCTTATTGTTATCTATAAATTTAAGAAAAATTATCGTATTTTTAATATACCTTACTTGCTGATGCAACTACAGGAGGTGGCAATGAATTTGAAAATAAATACGGTCTGCTACGTTGTTTTAATAAATTAATTAATTCTTTTTTACCAGTTGTATAACCACCTGCTGCTCCACCAAGAGCTTTGCCCAATGTGGAATTAATAATATCAATACTTCCCAATTGATTAAAATAATCTTCTGTACCTCTACAGAGAAATTATTAAATAATATTAGATATTAAAATAGATTTTATTAAATCAAATTAAATTAAATTAATTGATTAAAAATGTAATTTTTGATTATTGTTAATATATTATTACTTCTAGCAATATTTTTTGAAAAAAATTTAAATCAAAAGATTTAAAAAGATGATAATTTATATTTATAGAAGAAAAAAGCAATTGTTTATTAATGACAATTCAATGTAATATATATTGAAATACCTTCCCATTTTTCCAAAAAATCCAGTAGCATGACAATCATCCACAAAAGTAAGAGCATTATATTTTTTTGCAAGTTCTAATATTTTTGGTAATGGTGTGACAGTACCATCCATAGAAAAGACACCATCAGTTGCAATTAATCGTAAACGTGAAGACATACTCTCTTGTAGTTTATTTTCTAAATCTATCATGTTCCTATGTTTGTACCTTCATAAAATGTTATATGTTTTTACATAAAATAAAAAACATAAAATGTAATAATTTTATACATAAAATACAATGATTTTGCATAATGCATTACGCATAAAATACATGTTTTACACACCTATATTTTTTTGCTTTACATAATCTAATACCATCAATAATGGAAGCATGATTGAGCTCGTCACTTAAAATAGTGTCTTCAGATGTTAAAAATGTTTCAAATAATCCAGCATTTGCATCAAAACAAGATGCATAGAGAATAGTATCTTCTCTATTATGAAATTGAGCAATTTTCTTTTCTAATTCTACATGAATTGTTTGCGTACCACATATAAATCTTACAGAACTTAAACCTGCTCCATATTTATCTAGAGCAAGTTTAGCAGCAGAAATGACTTCTTTATTATCCTAAATTTCAAAAATGAAAAATTGATTAATATGATAAAAAATAATTTTATGTAATCTAATACTTACTGATAAACCTAAATAATTATTTGCGCAAAAATTTAGAGCTTCTGTACCATTTGCCAGTATAATTCGTGTTCGTTGAGGCGAAGCAATTATTCGTTCTTTTTTCCAAATACCAGTTGCTTTTATAACTTTTAATTCTGGTATTATACACTCTGTCAAAAGACTCATAAATCTTTCTAATATCCATTTATTTCTAAATTTTAAATCTGTAAAAATGAACATTTAAAAATAATATTTAATATTAAAAAATATTATTTTATTAAAATCTAATAAAAATAAAATACTTTTCTCAAAAATAGAATTCATATTTTGGTATACTTTATAATTTGTGATATCTATATTGAATGATATCTGATTCTGAATAACTGAAAGTATTAATAAACTAGTCAAACCTGTTAGATGTATAGTAATTTTCAAACTCTGCATATTTTCTCACTTCATATAAAATGATACATTCTATATTGAAAAAATATGCTGAAAAATATATTAAATAAAATTTAATAAAATGATTTAGTACTTACTTTTAATATTTAAATGTAAAAGAATAAAAACCAATAATTATTTTCATCATGTTTATTTTACAAGCTTTTTACATTTCGTCCCTATAATTGCATTAAATAATAAATCAATAAGTATTTGTTATATTTTAGCATTCAAATAGTCTCTAAATTGTCTTGCTTTATCTAAATAACATGTTTATAATACTAATATTTGGCAAATATTTATTCATATTTTCTAACAAGAAAAATTTTAAAAACATTTGTTTTGTTACATAACACTATCTGTATAGAATTAGTTTAATTTATATATATATATATATATTCAATATGATAATAAGAATACTATACACTATATATATAGATATGATGATTATTATTAAACAAACTATTTGTATTTAATTAAAACTAGCATTCTAGTATTCTATACACAACTTGGAATTATTATTTTTATCATTAAATATGTTAAACATTCTGTATTTGCTAAAATTTGCCAGTCTTTTGAGTTATAAATTGCATTTTGAAGTCTCACTATTTGGTCTGTTATTACTTGGTCTTGATTATTATTCTTATATAATAATTTATTTTAAAACGAAAAGTTTTTTCTGAATAACTTTGCTATATGCATTATTTTTATTCAAGAAAATATATATGTAAATGAAAATTTAAGTTGAAATTAAGGAACTATGTAACATTTACAAATTTAAGATATAACATATAGATGATCTTTAATTCAAGATTAATATGAGCAAAAATTAATGTAGTATAGTTTTGATATTTATACTTATTACATTATATATTAAATTCATTAAAAAATATTTAGCGAATTTTTACAATATAACAAAAAACATTTAAATATTAACGTAATTTCATGACGATTTGTTCTTTATGGAAAAACGGGTTGCCAAAAAATATGCCCGTGGAAAATTGTGCACAATTACATAAATAATTCCCAGATATATAATTATGGCAATTGTAAGAAAAAGATCGAATACAGCTGGTTTTACGCTGGAATATAATAAATTATATTATCTTATATTTAAAATATAAGTAAATATACATATATATCATATAGAAAAGAATATATAAATAATAACGAATGAAATCATAAAATTTACCTATATACATTTAATATTGCTTTTGTAACATCATAAAATACAAATTCTGGATCTTGTTTGTCAGGACTATGAAAAGTAATTTTAACATCTCCAAGATATCTAGCCATTGCTTCTCTCAATGTGTTAACTAATATATTATTTTTATCTGCCAATAACGGAGCAGCTCTTGGTTGCGATGCTAAGTAACTAAACCATAAAGATAATGATTCCTTAGAAACATCCTAAAAAAGTAAAATATACTAAATAAAATATTTATTTTCTTATTGCTTAAACTATTGTAAAAAATATATACCAGGGGATTAATGAAAATTTGACTGGAACTTAAATTGTATATATGTCTTGCTAATGCTTCTGCAATTACTTGAGTATGTTTATATAATTTATCTATTTGTTTTGTTTGAATTACATCTAAGATTGTTGTTCTAATTGGATCTTCATGACTTTTTAAAGTAGACAAAGTTGTAGCTGGTAATCTACGAATGCTGTATCTTTCATGTTCCCAAGCTAGTGTTTCTTCAGCTAAATTAATTTTTTTATGTACACCTTCAACAGTAGTGATATTTAATAACTCAGATACAGTTTTAAGTTCTTTGTAAAAAAGACCACCTGTGGAATTTTCTTTAGGTGGTTTTGACACATGCACATAAAAATTATCACTAGTAGATACTGTGTCAAGACAAATGACATAAGCTGCATCCTAATATATTAAAAAAAATAAATAAATAATATTATATTATATTTCTATTTAAAAATATTATAAAAGAGATATAAAGATATTTAAATATTAGGAAACATAATATATAATACTTGTATTATTGAGCCTTCAAGTCCATCTAATTGATCTTCTAACCATTTTTTGCTACCTTGATAATTAAGTTTACCAGCACCAGTCACAATAAAAACAAGATTATATTGTGGTCTTGATCTACTAGTAGAATATAAAATAGAAAACAATCGTGCTATTTCTAATAACATTGCTACACCAGATGCATTGCTATCTGCTCCAAAAGACATTTCCTATATATTGAAAATAACATATACATAAACATCTTGTTTTCAAGATTATATTATAATTATATTAGTAATTATATATATAAAAAATTTATATCAATAGTTTACTTACAGGTGCAATACCAGCGCTATCATAATATGTTACTAAGGCTATAGTTGGTAATTTTTCTTCAGCTCCATTACCAGTTAATTTTCCATGCAAAGTAGCTATTTTAACATCTGTTTTAGCTAATGCTTGTCCAGTTGCTACAACTACTTGATAACCACTAGCAGATATAGAATTGAACATTGCTTCAGCTGCAGAATTAGCTTTTTCATCAGTAATAAAACCATTAGAAAGATCATCTAAGATTGCCTGTAAATCTGGATGCCAAGAAGTAAAATATACTGGAATTGTTGTTTCTGGTCCAAACAACATAGATTCTTCTAGATTCATAATATGCTATAAATAAAAAAACAAGTGCAAAGCTATGAAAATTTGACTTCATTGATTTTATTAAAATTTATGAAAAATAAGATTAATCAACCTGTTTTTCCTCCAATGTTAATTCAGTGAGTTTTTCTGGTAAAATTACTATCAAAGCTCCAGCTTTATGTTTAATAGAATGAAACATGCTAGGAGTAAGATTTAAAACTTTTGTAACTACACAATGCCTAGATGTGCTCCATCCTGTAAGAGATCTTGCTTCCAGAGAAATAGGAGCATTACGACAACCTGTATATAATTATGAAAATTATATAAATTAAGCATCAATAAAATTATAATGAAATGAAAATAAAAAAACACTATTTCTTTACCGTGTGGCACACCATGCAAGTCATATTGATGCATTCGGTACACGGGAAATTCATGAGATGCTGCAACTGGGTTAACTGGAGAAATAATAATAAAAATTGGTAGAATTATTAGTAAATAATATGGCAAATATCCTCGACATAGTTCAGCAAAACCATCACATTCTTCTAACCACATATTTCTCTTTGATTTTACTTAAATATATTTAACAGTGTAAAAATGTAATTTTTAATTATTCTTGACCTATCACCACGCGATAATCCATTCTTTAACTAGTAGCGCCATCTCTTCAAAAAATGCTTAAATTTATCATATATTGTTACCGATAACGAAGTGAATTTGTTAATAGCTTTTAATATTATGTTTTTGGGAACATTGAAACTTTTTTATATATTCTGTATCTCGTTTGTGTGGTATCAAAAGTAGTTAAATAAAATTGAGTACTTTTGCAGTATTTAATTTATGGTGGAATCATATTTTATGCTTTTATATTAAAAATGCAATTTTTATGTATATTGTGAATTATAAATTATCTTTAAATAATAAATTTTTGTAAATAAAATAATAACATATAACTATGGGTGATAAAAGACAACAAAATTTATCGGTATGTATTCAAATGTTAATATATATTTATAATGATTTTTTATTATATATATATTTAAAGAAAGATGATTTAAATTAAATTTAATATTGAAAATTTTTATTTAATATTTTATTCAAAAAAACTATTAAATATTAAAGATAAAGTTTAATAAATATATTTTATTTTTCTTTCTTTTTTAATTTATTTTTAAATTACAAAATAAGAGTTTTATTTTATATAGAAAGAAGAAATAGCAAAACAATTTATGCTACCAGAGAGAAAAAGTAAGATTGCTACATTATTAAAACAAGATGGCCAAGCATATTGTATTTGCAGAAGTTCTGACAGTTCACGTTTTATGATGTAAGATATAAATATTATGATATAAATTACTTATATTTTATTTATTGATGCTAAATAAAATTTATATGAATTTTAGAGGATGTGATGCATGTGAAGAATGGTATCATGGTGATTGCATAAACATAACAGAAAAAGATGCTAAGCACATAAAACAATTCTTTTGTATTGTAAGAATGTTGTATTTTCTTGTAATTTAATTTACGTTCAAATATTATATTAATTAAATGTATATTTTAGCGCTGCAGAGATGAAGATCCCACTCTAATAACACGTTATAAACCTCGACGAACTGAACCAGAAGATCGTAAATACAAAAAACATAAAGAGAAAGAAAGAGCGCATAGATATGAGTATGATGCACCTTGGGATCCTACAGCAGTAAAAAAATCATCAAAACGTTGTGGAGAATGTACAGGTTGTTTAAGAACTGAAAATTGTGGAAAATGTGATGCATGCAGGTAATCTCAATATTAATAAATAATAATATAATAAATAAAATAATTTGAAATTTCTTTTTTTTTTACTAATTATTATTTAATCTTTAGACATTTGAAAAAATTTGGACCTTCAGTTAGATTAAAACTTAGATGTATACAAAGAACTTGTAGAGTATTAGGGGATCCTTTGAAACCATCAAAAAATTTCAATAAAAGTTCTAAATTTATCAAAAAACGAAAAAGAGATTCTAGCAATGAAAGGAATGAGCTTTTAGAAGTACCAAGACATTGTTATGGACCTGCTTGTACAAAACAATCTCGACCAGGTAGTAAATACTGCTCTGATGAATGTGGATTGAAATTAGCAACTAACAGAATTTATCAAGTATTGCCTCAACGGATACAAGAATGGTCATTGACACCATGTATTGCGGAGCAAAATAATAGAAGACAATTAGAAACAGTTAGGAAACAACAACAAGATGTACGAAGAATACTTCAGGAGTTAGATAAAAGACATTCAGAATTGGATAGAATCGTTGAACGTGCAAAACATGCAACAATTGATCCCCAGACTGAAGTAGATGATAATGATGATACGGAAATGAGCATGTATTGTATTACTTGTGGTCATGAAATTCATTCAAGAACTGCTATTAAGCATATGGAAAAATGCTTCAATAAGGTAATTATTTGAAATATATACAATTCTTTAGTCATTTTATTAAAAATTAAATCGAATACATTTATTTTTTTAGTATGAATCTCAAGCTTCCTTTGGTTCAATCTTCAAAACTCGTATCGAAGGACAAGTAATGTTCTGTGATTTTTATAATCCTGCAAATCGAACTTACTGTAAGAGATTAAGAGTTCTTTGTCCTGAACACTGTAAAGATCCAAAAATTAGTGAAATTGAAGTTTGTGGTTGTCCATTAGTTACAAATGTATTTGATATGACTGGTGAATTCTGTCGAGCACCAAAAAAAAGTTGTGTAAAGCATTATGTTTGGGAAAAATTAAGACGAGCAGAAATTGATATGGAAAGGGTGAGACAGTGGTTAAAAATAGACGAATTAGTTGAACAAGAGAGACAAATAAGAGCAAATATGGCTACACGTGCTGGTGTTTTAGCTTTAATGCTTCATTCTACATATAATCATGAATTAATGGAACAAATGACACAAGAACAAAATAGAGAACAATTAGAAGCTATGGAAGAGGAACTACAGCGAAGATATGGCTTGCTTCAAAAAGAGCAAACTATAGAACAATGATTATTTTTATCAACGGTAACTATATCGAATTTTTTAACATATCTTTTAACGTGTTCAATACTATATTTATATCAATATATTGTGTATTAGTGACATAGTGAAAATTAAAAATTTAATGGATAATGTCCATATTAGAAATGATTTTATTATAATAAATTATGAATTTGTAAAATAAGTATTATTAAAAATTGTAAAAAAATTTTTTTTTAATGAATTACAAAATATGATTAATTAATTTTTGAAATTTAGTTATAAAAGAAGAGATTATGTGAAATGAAAAAAAGATTAGATCAAAAATATTAGAAATATAAAATTAAGATATTGTCCTGTGAAATTTTTACTATAGTCATATAATTATTTCATTTACTAATATGATTTACAAATTTGAAAAGGGCATTATAAAAAAAAAGTAGTGAAAAATAGCAAAAATCGTTTTTGGCTCGACTTTGTATAATTATGTATTTTTCTTTATTTATAACGTTCAATTAAACTTTTGTAAATTCAAATTTATAATATAATTTTTCAGTATCTATTTTAGTGTTCACAATATATCATTTCACATTATATGACTGCACATGTGAAATAAATCAGTAACTCGTTATATGAAACATAATTCCAACATTTCTAAAATTTACCACACTTTAACTTCAATAAATATATTACTTGCTTAATTTTAACCAGTTAAGTTCCGACTCGTCGCTAGAAAGGATACTCTCTCAAAATACTTTTGAATTACAATAAATTCCAATCATAACACAAAATATTCTGATACAGTACAACCTTTCAGTTTTATGCTATATATACATATAAATATATATGTATATATATTTTGAATATCTATAATGACACACATATATTCTCTCTCTGTGTGCGTGCGCTCGCGTGCATGTGTGTGTGTGTGTGTGTGTGTGTGTGTGTGTGTGTGTGTGTGTGTGTGTGTGTGTGTGTGTGGTGTACATACATTTTTACTGTATCTTTTTTGTTTGGTATGTTTTGAGGTAAACTGTGAGAACTAAAATGCACACTCTCACTTCCCCTTTGCATTAATATTAATATAACCCATTGACAATGGAATAAACTCGAATATTTTCAAAAATGTTTAGGATGAAACTCTATAAAGAACTAGTTTAATATATTTAATGTATGTCAAATATTGCACTCAATATATTTGCAAAAAAACAATTTGTGTAATTTCTAGGACTCTTATTTGAAAACAAAGACTTATTTACCAAAATTTAATTCTTTAATTTCTTTTATCATTTTCTTATATCATTTTTTAGCAGTAAATTAGTATTATAACACAATATCTTTTAATTAATTTTCAGCATAATTTCTGTTTTAACGAATTTGAGTTAATCATAATTTTTACCCATTTTCTTTTTCTTTTACATATAAAGACATGCAAGCTTTTAATAAACTTATTCGCAAACTAAATGTGCATTTCTGACACGCTGTCATTATCTGCCACCGGTTTTCATAATTGGCGAAGCGTCGATCGATAGCCCGGAAATCCAGTAAAATGGTAGAAATATAGGTACTTAATGTACGTTTTTATAATTTTTCGGCTCTGAGCGCGTGCATGACACAGCTAAGATTTTAAGTATTTATTATTTATAAACGACGAGACACAACTAAGCTGCCGAAAAAATCATCTTTTCCACTAGCTTATAATATATATTTTTTTTAATATTTTTTTTCTTTTCTGTCTTTCTAATTACTCTTGACGATCGTCGAGACTTGGTCCCAACCGCAATGATGAGTTTTCTCGTGTCACTCTGGATCCACTAATAACGATCGATCATCGATTCGAAATCCCAGCCGTTTGTCACTTCTCATGATGAGAATTATATATTTTTTAAAGTTTTTATAAAATTATATATTTAATTTTACAACACATTTGAATTAAAATAAAATCTTTTCAAATATTAAAAAATAATCTTTTCAAATATATTATATGATAAATTCATTGTTTCAATTCAAAAATCAATGATCATAATTTTAAATGATATATAAATCTTGAATTTTTAATATTCTTCGATTTTTTTATCCTTTTTTGAATCTTTATAAAATTAATCATAAAACTTATAAAAAAATAAATTTTGTTTTTTTCGATATTTTCTAATTATTGTTTATTTTTTAAAAACATTAAAAATAATTGCCGGTTATTTCAAAATTAATACAATTATATTTGATTGGTAATCTATTTTCAAAAATCAATAATATATCATGGACATGAAAACGGCGGGAAGGATGCAGAGAATGATGATTGCTTAATGGTTGCAAAGATAATGACGAAGGCGCGACAGTGTCGACAAGATTAAACGTTTATAGAGGTTATCCTTTCTTTATATATATCTCGTAAGTAATGTTGTACTTTAATTATTGAAATAAACGACAAGATCTCTAAACAACGGAGCGAGAATAAACATCGCTAGGTGTGTAAAATATAATTATTCGATAGATCCGCATAGTTTTAAATACAAGTTTCGACGCGTCTAAAGTAGCACTTTTTCTTAACATTTTTTTTGTTTTTTTTTTTGTTTTTTTTTGTTTTGTTTTTTTTTTTTTCAAGAAAATTCGTCACGGGTTTACAGAATTCCCTTTTCCTTCTTCACGAAGAAATTCGTCGCTGCTTCGAGCGCGATATCGATCGATCCAGCAGTAAGATATTGCAGCGCGTATCGATCATTGATATCGATCTCCAATTCATTTTACATTGTTCGCTTTTTTTTGTTTGTTTATTGCTTATAGTACAAGGACGCGATTAACGCTCTTTAATTACATCATTAGATGCGAAATCAATCTTTCTGACAACATGAATCGAGTTTTTCCAACTTTTTTTCTCCTAATGTTTGTAATATCTTTCCCAAAATATTTAATTGCCATGTTGTGAGAAAATTTTAATAAGTTACTAAGTGTGTGTATGTATATATAATATTAAGAGAAAAAAAATAGAAAAAGGAAGAAAATCTCGATACATGAAGTTGGAAAGATATGACATGATTATCGAACAATGACAGAGCGTAAAACAAAAAGAAATTGCAATATGTGTTAAATGCCAGTACGAAAGTGTCAACATCCGGCGTCTCAATATCGCAGGCAGTGGCACGTTTCGATTATACGACAGATCGGATACCAGATTGAAAACATAATGTTTGTGGCTATGCAATTATCGACAGAAATTATTTGACCAGATGTGAAAATATTCAGTATATATATTTTTTTATTCAATATATATATTTTTTATTATTATATCAAAACAAGCAAATGGTACGATATTAGTAAGCATGTACCAATTACTGTATAATTCAAAATTTTTTGTCTGCGCATGTGCCACAAATCTTTTTCTCGAACAAGATTAATTCTTTCGCAACCGTTCGATCAATCTATTATAAACTCGATATTCAATTGCTATCATCATTATCATCATCATCATCATCCGCATTGTTATTATTATTATTATTATTATTATTATTATTATTATTATTATTATTATTATTATTATTGTTATAATTATTATTATTCTTAATATTAGTATTAATATTATTATTCTTATTATTGTTATTATTATTATTATTTATATATTATATTATTATATATTATTATTACTGTTATTATTATTTTTTATAATTATTATTATTATCGTTATTATCATTATCATTATCATTATCATTATCATCATCATCGTCACCACCATCATTATCATCATCATCATTATTATTTATATATTATATTATTATATATTATTATTATTAAAATTATTATTATTATTATTATTATTATTATTGTTATTATTGATTCAACAAGGACAGAAGACAACGGTTAACAATAAATTCTGTGTAAGAATATTTAAATGCCGCAAAAGGATTAACCTTGCAATCTGGGAATACCGATGAACAATTTATCAGGGATAAGGACGCTGATTCCGATTTTTAAATTTAAAAGAAGTTAGTGTCGCAGATTTCGGAAATCGCATCCTTTGTCACCATTTTTTCTAATTTTCTAGTAAAGCGATGAAATTTAGTTTACAAGGATACATAGTTCGTCTAGAGACTATAGTGTGGTTGTAAATTATTGTATCTATTGACAATACAATTGATGCCATAATTTTCATTATTAATTATATTCGATACTTAAAACATCTGTAACTTTTCATTCGGCTGATTTTACAACTTCGTTATATCTCTGAACGGACTATATAAATATTTTGTGATTATTCGCTTCGATTCTTCAAAAAAAAAAAAAAAAAAATTGGATTATTCAATCGATCTATAGGACCATTTTTGTCATTATAATCAACTTAACTTGTAATGATGACTTTACTTTATAAAAATCTCTTTGCTTAAAAATTGAAAAATAAAATATTGCAAAAAAGAAATAAATTATTTTTTATATCAATTATAATTCATAACAAAAAAATTGTGAGCACGATACGGTCCTATAAATCAATGACTGATCAAAAATTCAAAATATCATAAGATATGTATGTATATATAGATATACATATATACATACATATATACATACATACATACATACATACATACACACATACATACATACATACATACATACATACATACATGCATCATATATACATACATACATACATACATGCATCATGCATACATACATACATACATAAATATATACGTGGCATTATGTCTCTATATATGCATATATAAGTGTATATATATATATATATATACAGACATACATATATATTATATTTACACTAGACGGCTCGATCTCGTTATAAGATTAATAATCAGTTCAAAGTACGAGACGAAAAATGACGTTACGGATCGGTGCAATATCATACCGCTACATAAATGATTTTTCACTTTTATGTTAAACTAATCCACACATTTTATTTTTTCCCTTCTTCTTCGTTTTTTCCATCTTCTTTATTCTTGCTCGTAGCAACGTCGAAAAAAAACACAAAGAGTACAGAGACGTCCCCGGGGCAGAGTGGCCGATTTTACAAGGATTCGCACCGGTGACGATCGTCGCGA